TTTTTTGTTCAGGTTCTGATGATCTAAATAAAGGGAGTGGGTAGCTCTTATTTTATAGCCTCTGGGAGTGTTGGACCCTGAGCCAGTCCCCAGAGGAGTTTCTAAGTGCTGCCACTACTGTTCCAGAGATAGTCTGGGAGGAGGATAAGGAGGCTGAGGCCCCACTAGTTATCTGGGTGACTTCAGACAAAATTACCTAGCCAGGCCAGGAATGGTGGGCCATGGCTATAATCCCAGCACTTTGGGAGGCCCAGTGGGAGGACTGCTTTGAGGCCAGGAGTTCAAGACCAGCCTGGGCAACATAGGAAGACCCCCATCTCTAAAAAAAAAAACTTAAAAATTAATATTGTGGGGCACAGTGGCATATGCCTGTGGTCCCAGCTACTTAAGAGGCTGAGGTGGGAGGACTGCTTAAGTCCAGGCACTGCAGCCTGGGTGACAGAGCAAGATCCTGTTTCAAAAAAAAAAAAAAAAATTACCACCCCATCGATGTTGGAGTCTCCTCATCGAAGAGTGAGGATGCTAAGAATAACAGTAGTGACACCCCAGGTGGATGGAAAGATAAAGTAAGTTAACACATGCCAAAGTCTAGCTACTTTGCCCTCGCCTATATCCTCACCTTCTGGGCCCAGTAATACACGGACTCTGGGCTGTTGATCTCCTTGCCCAGGCGGGCGATCATCTTTGAAGGTGTCCACTTTACACCCTAGGAAAGGACATGAGCTTCAGCCCATGCCTCCCCTGACTCCTACTGGACTGGCCCCTCCAGGTCGCTCTGGCCCCACCTCTGTGTTCTGCTCCAGCACCATCTGGTCCAGAATGGGCATCAGCCAGTCCTCAAACTTGCAGTAATTGTTATTGGGCACCAGCAGGTTTCCGATCCTGAGGACAGGAGGCATGTGGGCATCTGGGCCCAGGACCCTTGGTCCAGCTCCCATGCCCACCACTCAGGGTTCCCACCTGTTGATCCCATTCTCCCGGAGCTCCTTCCCTCTGAGGCTAAACTCGCCCAAGTAGGTGGGGGCCAGGCACTTGATGAGGTCTTCCTCCACTCCGCCAGCTGTAGTCACCAATACATCCACCTGCAGCCACAAGGCAGTGAAGTTGGCCCAGGAAGGAAGACCCTGCCCTCATTCTGGGCAGGACTTCTAACCTCATCCTCGTCCAGTTACTCTTACAAGGGAGCTTTGCTACAGAACAAAACATGATTCTATTCTTCTGCTTAAAACAGACTCCTATCTCCCCATCTCACTTAAACGATTAATAACTGCATCGCCCATTGACCCAGAGGCCAAGGCCACGGCCCCACCAGGTCCCCACCATGTTGTGCTGCACAAGGTAGCGAATGGTCTCACGGATGCCTGAACTGATGAGGTTGGATGTATATCCCAGGAAAATGGTGCAGCCAGTGAGTGGGCGGCGGCTCTGGGTCAGGTCTGCGTGTTGGTCTTCATCCTGTGACAGCGGTTCCAGCTTCTTCTCAATCTGGGGGTAAGGGCCAAGTAGAGTTAAGCACTGGCCCTAAATTCCAGCCCCAGGACTACAGGTGGGCTCTAGAAACAAATTCCACCCCAGGCCCTGCCCATTCAGGGACACAGGACCAGTTCTACCGGGAACCAAGGAACATCACCTGTGCAAACCCTGCCCCTTCCCAGACCAGATCTCAGGACACGCATTTGGGATTTGTCCCCACCCTTTTAGGAATCAGAGGGCTCTCCTTTTCAGATCCTGTCCCTTCCCCAGTGGCAAAAGCAAATCTAAGTTCAAGCCCCGGGGCGCTGAGACTTAGGCTCCTCCTCGGCCATGTGCTCCCTTAACCTGTTTTGCCCCAGGCTCCGCTTATTCCAGAAAGCTTTAGACCTAGAACCCGGCCGCCCACCAAGAAACGGTCCCTGCCTCCTCAGGCTGTCCTAGGATGTAACTACTGGAGTGCAAAGTCCCCTTCCCAGGACAAAATTCCTGTCCAGTATAGATCCCGCCTTCTTCGAACTGCTGGATCGCTCAAATAAAAGCCCCGCCCCCTTAGAGTACTGCCCTGGTTCTACAAGCCACGCCTCTCCGCGGCGCTGGAAGTCCCGCCCCCGTCCTCACCATGGCATTGACTTGCTGTACAGCGCGCCCGAAGTTGGTTGCTTGGAAGCCAGTGGTGCCGAAGGCCTCCAACAGTGCGCGGTAATCCACGCCGCGGTTGAAGT